GCACAAATGTATACGCACAATACCACGACTTTCGCTACAATACGGATCTGTACCAACCCGACTGGTTTTACGAGAAAATGACGGAGCTCAAGGCCAGTTACAAAAAGGGCAACATTGGCTACACTTCTCAGTACGTCAATACTCTGGCAGGCAAGAGTCAGTATATTGCTATTCTCAATAGCCGTGTGTACGACATGACCGACTACATTCGTGGCAGCGTCAGCCTCCAGGTTCCCAGCAACATGAATGCCTCGACTGACTCGACTCTGCTGAGTTTCATGGACGATCTCGTCGTCTCTCTCTTCCAAATGAAGTCGGGTAGCGATCTCACCAAGCTCTGGGATGCACTAGACCTCGACACGGACACGCGCAAACGTCAACAGCTTTGTCTGGACAATTTATTCTATGTTGGAGATGTCGACACGAGAAACTCGACCCGTTGCCAATTCGCCGAATACTTGGTCTTGGCCATTTCCATTGTTCTCTGCTGTATCATTGGTTTCAAATTCTTTGCTGCTCTCCATTTTGGCGGCAAGAATGTTCCAGAAAACCTGGACAAGTTCATCATGTGTCAGATTCCGGCCTACACGGAAGACGAGGATTCTCTTCGCCGTGCCATTGACTCGGCTGCACGCATGCACTATGACGACAAGCGCAAGCTGCTCGTTGTTGTCTGTGATGGTATGATTATTGGACAAGGCAACGATAGGCCCACGCCTCGCATCGTTCTCGACATTCTAGGCGTTTCCGAGACTGTCGATCCAGAGCCGCTCAGCTTTGAATCCCTTGGCGAGGGTCTCAAGCAGCACAACATGGGCAAGGTCTATTCCGGTCTATACGAAGTCCAAGGTCACATTGTTCCGTTCCTTGTTGTTGTCAAGGTTGGAAAGCCGTCCGAGGTATCGCGCCCTGGTAACCGTGGCAAGCGCGACTCGCAAATGATCATTATGCGCTTCCTCAACCGCGTCCACTACAATCTCGCCATGAGCCCTCTGGAACTCGAAATCTACCACCAGATTCGCAACATTATCGGGGTCAATCCGACATTTTACGAATTCATGTTGCAGATTGATGCCGACACTGTTGTCGCACCCGACTCTGCCACTCGCTTTGTTGCTGCCTTTTTGGATGATACGAGATTAATCGCCTGCTGTGGTGAAACGGCTCTGACCAATGCCAAGTCATCGTACATCACCATGATTCAAGTGTACGAATACTTTATTTCCCACAACCTGGCCAAGGCCTTTGAGAGCTTGTTTGGCAGTGTCACTTGTTTGCCCGGTTGTTTCTCCATGTACCGCATTCGCGCTGCAGAGACGGGAAAGCCACTGTTTGTCAGCAAAGATGTTGTCGACAATTACGCCACCATTCGTGTCGACACACTGCACATGAAGAACTTGCTTCACCTTGGTGAGGATCGATACCTGACGACACTTTTGCTCAAGTTCCACAGCAAGTACAAGACAAAGTACATAAGCCGAGCTCATGCCTGGACCATTGCGCCCGATACTTGGCAGGTCTTTCTCTCTCAGCGTCGTCGATGGATCAACTCTACTGTGCACAATCTGATGGAGCTTATCCCCATGGCTCAGCTCTGTGGTTTCTGCTGCTTCAGTATGCGCTTCATCGTCTTTGTCGACTTGCTCTCGACCGTTGTCCAGCCTGTGACGATCGCCTACATTGTATACCTTATTGTCGAGGTAGCCACCAAGTCCACCATTATCCCAGTTACAGCCTTTATCATGCTTGGTGCCATTTATGGTCTCCAGGCCTTGATCTTTATTTTCCGCCGAAAGTGGGAAATGATTGGCTGGATGATTCTCTACATCCTTGCCATTCCCGTCTTTTCCTTTGGTCTGCCGCTGTATTCTTTCTGGCACATGGACGACTTTAACTGGGGTAACACCCGTGTTGTTGCTGGCGAAAGAGGAAAGAAGGTTGTCGTTACCGACGAGGGTAAATTCGATCCGGCCTCTATTCCTCGCAAGAAGTGGGAAGAGTACCAGGCCGAGCTCTGGGACGCTCAGACTGCTCGCGATGACACCCGTTCCGAGGTTTCGGGCTACAGCTACGCAACCAAGCAGGGCGCCGCTGTCACCGAGTACTATGCTGGCAGCCACAATGGCTCTACCCACGGCCTCATCCCTCCCTACAACATGGGTGGTGCTGGGCACATGTCTCGCATGTCGCTCGCACCGTCTGAGATGATGGGCAACCGCATGAGTCAGTATGGCGGCTCGCAGTTCTTCAACAACCCGCAAGAGATGGAAATGGCCAATCTGTCAGGCGTACCAAGCGATGATGCCCTACTGGCTGAGATTCGCGAAATTCTGCGAACAGCTGACTTGATGACTGTTACCAAGAAGGGCATCAAGCAGGAGCTCGAGAGACGCTTCAATGTTCCTCTCGAATCGAGAAGGGCGTACATCAATAATGGTATGTTTCTGCCTTTTGTGTGCACCTTGATACTAACACGATTTTAGCCACCGAAGCTCTTTTGTCTGGTCAGCTATAAGGTTGGCAGCTCACATTACGCATTTGGAGCACGGTGTGCTCGGACGAATTACATAATATAATGCATTCCCGGCGACAGCATCAAGACGGTTACGAAAAGTGGACATGCACATGTCCATGGCATAATATTGGCTTTGCAGCCATGGAGTATGGTATTTTACGTTTGATATTAGATACAAGCGCGACTACATTAGATATCAAGGAGTTTACCACTGGCAGTATATAATTGATTGTTTCATTCCCAATTCAACGCCTGCCTAAAGATCTGACTCGTTCTCGCACAACCAGTAGGCTTCTACTTCTGCAATGCACGTTCGTGCTGGTACGGTCACTGCAATGGGAAAGCCACCATAGTCTGGATCGTCGTTGGGCATGATGAGAAATTCACCGCTTCTCGTCTCGTCGCCATTCAAGACGCGCAGGGTCTTGAGAGAATTCGTCTCGGCATCATACTCCTTTTCTCGTGCGTCGAGTATACCCGTAAAAGTCGCACCTTGAACCCGACTCTTGAAGTGAATGTTGAAGCCCCGCCCGACGACCAAGAAGCGCGCGGAAGTACTGTCTCCGAGCTGAATCACCATGCCAGCGCCGGGGCCCGCCTTGCCAAACACAAAGGCCCGCTCAATGATGACTTCGACCTCGCCAAAGACCTTGGTCCATTTCTCTTGGCCTTTTGGCGGTCCCGATGCGGGCAGCTCGTCAAAGAAAAATCCCATGCGCTGCTCGGGGCGACTGTGGAGCAGGTAATCCTTGGTCTGGTCAAGTAGCTTGTACTCGCGCCCGACAATCTCGGCGCCCGTGTCGATGCCAAAGGGGCAAGTCCCCAAGGCCGAGTATGTGGCGTAGGCGAGCCAGACGCGACGGGCGCCGCTCTCGTCGCGACGCTGTTCGGGGATGAAGAGCGGGTTGTCGTCGTAGGCTGTATAGTCCCGACAGACGCCCTCGTAGCCGTGAAAGTACAGGTCCGGGGCCAAAAAGTCGAGCGCCGGCGCATTGTGCCGCCAAATGTCCTGCACGTGGGGACATGGGCCGCCGGACGGGTAGATGCCGGCTTCGGCGCCGCCGCCCACCACGACGGGGAGGTCCGTCAGGTCGAGGGCCGAGGGATCGTCAAAGTTGAGCCAGGTGTTGGTGTACAGGGGGATGTTGTAGACGGCTTTTGCTGCGGCGGCGACCTTGCCCACGTAGGTTGAAATGTGATGCGCCATGAATGCCTCATTGGCTGGAACGCCGGCGCCAAAGATGATCTCCCATGAGTACGATTTCTCGGTATCCTTTACTGCCGCGAGTTTGTCTGCAAAGCGTTCCTTGAAGCGGGGGTGCAGCTCCGTCGTGGTCAGGTGTTTCAGGAGGGCGGCTGGAACTGGCTGCTGGAACGCCTCTTCGGCAATCGAGGAGCGGTCTCTCGAGTCCCCCAGAAGCCCGGTCTCGTTCTCGACCTGCACCATGACGACGGTATTCTCCTCCGAGTCGACCTCTTTCAGGTGACCCATGAGCGCGGCCAAGGCTTTCGAGTCTGCCGCGCATCCTTGTTCGGACAATGGCGATAGCATCTCCACGGTACGCTTGACGCCGCCGGCTTCCAGCACGTGCACTCTTGGGAAGCGCTTTACGTCTTTCTTGACCCAGCCAGGGACATAGGTCGAGATGCCGTTCTTGTACGTACCAAACCAGAGAAGCACCAGGTGCATGGAATGCTGGCGGGCGTCCTTGAGAATTTCGTCGAGTTCCGAGAAATCAAACTTGCCCTCCTCTGGCTCAATCATCTCCCACGACACGGACCCGACGAGCGTGTTGATCGATTGTGCTTTCATGGCCGGCCATACTTGAGACATGAACTTGGCGGAGCTCAGGGATGAGTTGTGCAGTTCTCCAGAGAGCATGAGAAAAGGCTTGCCCTTGACGATGAGCTGGATGCCATTTTTATTTTTTTCCAGGTGTGGCAGCGATGGATTGGTCGCGGAGAGTCTCTGGTAGACCATTTTGTCGACTCTTGTGATCTTTACGTAATGGAGTGAATGTAATCAGTGTCGACAGGTCTCAAGGTGGCTTTTTGTAGAAGAAGAACAGCTTCTAATCTAACAGAGCGAGCGAGAACGGGAACAGGGACTCTTGATATATCGTGATATCCGCCGGCTTCATCTCGGCATACCACAGGCTGAACTCCGGATCGGCTTGGCTATAATCGGAGAAGCCGGCGGGCACTCGGCAGCTTGTGTGGAGACTTTGGGAGAGTTCCGTATGGCGCGCATAGTTTTATCCTTGGCGGTGTTGAAAGAGCCGCGGATCAGCCGTAGAAATCATTAGACTGTACTGCATCCAGGAACAGCTGACTTGCGTCTCGACCAGTAATCGTAGTCCTCCTCGTCCATGGATTCTATAGTTTCACCACATTAAATGCATCATGTGGTTCGGTTAAAAGATGGAAGTTTTCCTAATACTAGAAAAAAAACACACTTGGAATATATCATTTCCATGAGAACATAAACCCCACGCGGGGGACCCGCAACCTGTAGATTTGTTATTCGCTGCCATGATCTATAGAATTAGATCTCTTCTACATCGTAGACAAGAGAATAAAAGTCTAATGCTCTACCATTGAGCCAGTGGGGCTGATAATGTGTATCGAGGAGGAGTCATGTTATATTATATGTCAGTTCAATTCATCGAGAGCTATATTTCAGACTGTGCGCAAATCTTGTGTCTAATCAAACAGTCACAATTATTCCATCTACAACGCAAAGAAACCCTAGCCACACCTCAGTCTACATAATGATTGTCTACAAGCGCGGCTTCAAACCCACAAGCTCTCCTTGGCCCACCGTTCGACCTCGACAGCAATAGCAGGAGCAAATCGCTTGTCGAGAAGTGCCAGATGACTTCCGGGGACCTCGACTGTGACATTTGCCCGCTTCCACTTGGGGCGCCAGATGTCCGCATCCTTGGGCATCTTTTCTGATGGATCCAAGGCCCGGACAAAAAGGGTGGATAATTCGTCAGGCAGAGGATACAGCTCTTGATCCCAGTCTCGCAAAGTCCTAAAGTAGCCGCCCACCTTGGCCAATGCCAGATCCAAGTCTCCGACAAGACTCTCGGCCCCCATACTTTCGGGCCCGCCAACCTTGGGACCCCCAAGACGCGACACGAGAGCTTCTGCTGGCAAAGCGTTTAACCAATCTGGGTCGCCCCGTCCCGTCATGGTCAGGTATGTGTCCACCAGGACGAAGCCAGCCAGTCGAGGGTGACTAGCACTTGAAGCCAGTTTGGACGCCACGGCATATGCAATAGTGCCTCCGGCGGAATAACCTGCCAGTATAATTCCCGGCCTGTCTGCAAACTGCTTCTGGATTGCATTTGCATGCAGTTCAGCAAGCGTGTCAAGGTCCTCGGGGACGAATTGTCCTTCTGGGTGTGGAAGCTCAAACACGTCCCTCTTTCCGTTCAAAGCAGACCCTACTGCGCTGTATACGCTGAGCGACATGTTGCCAATCTTGATGCGCGGGAAGAATGGGGCAATGAACACTACGGGCAAGGGTGCATCGCCGTCGGTTACGCCGGCAGGACCAGTAGCGAGGCGCTGAGGGTCCGCCACGTAGTCGGAAAGGCTGCGGCCGTCCTTGGGGAATGTCGGCATTGCCAGGGCGGCCGAGGCCAAAAGATCAGCCGCTGCGGTATACTGTTCGAGCTTACAAAGTCGCCTGTGAAGTGTGGCCAGTCCTCGGAAATCCTCGGGGTCAATACCGTCTTGGGGGGAGCGATTAGGGTCGCCATTGTGAGTGCCATTGTGATCTCCATTGGAATGCCCATTGGTTTTGCCATTTTCGCTGCCATTCTCTGCAACAACGGTTTCTGTCTCGGAAAGAGGGGAATCCAAATCAGCTTCCGAATCGGGATCCGCATCCAGTCGCTCCAAGAGATACTGCGCGAGAGCCTGAGGAGTATCATAATCGAGGGCCAATGTGACGGGAAGGTCACGGAAGCCAGTCAGGACCCTGAATCTGTTGCTGACAGTGACTGAAGTAAAAGAGTCGAATCCGAGGTCGGACAAGGGCCCGTCTGGTAAGTCTTGGCCTTGATATCCAAGTACAGCAGCAATCTCGTCTCGCACCAGACCCAGCAAAGTATCCTGACGACTCTCGGGTGCCACTGCGGCAAGCTTTTTGCGCCAAGCTGCACCCGTCTTTGTTCTGCTGGCCGAATTCTTCTTGGCCTTGAATACCGTATCGGCTGAAGGCACCATTGGGAATGGCCCGCGTAGAAGGAGTGGCACGAGCACAGGCTCTGCTGTTTGTAGAGCTCTGTCAAACAGGTGCAGTCCTTGCTGGTCGACCACTGGATGAGCGCTGGCGATCCGGAGGTTGGGAATCACTAGCTTGTCCCCGGCGGCCATGCCAATATCGTTTGCCCAAGGGCCCCAAGCCAGCGACAGCCCGGGCAGCCCTTGCGATACTCGCAAGCGAGCCAGCGCATTCAGGAAAGCATTACCTGCTGTGTACGCGGCCTGACCTTCATTACCGACGACACTTACGAATGACGAGTAGAGTACAAACGATCGCGTCGTGTCCGGAGCCAGCTGGTGCAAATTCCAGGCGGCATCGACCTTGGGTCGAAGGACACGAGACACTCGGGCTGTGGTTTGCGAGCCTAGGACCCCATCATCGACCACGCCTGCGCAGTGTATGATGGCGGTAATAGGTGGATGACCTTGGTTGCCTTGTAGCAGTGCGGCCAGTTGTTCGCGGTCGCCAACGTCGCATGCCTCGATGCGTACGACTGCCGTGTCTTGACTGCTCAGTTCATCAAGCAATTCACGCGCGCCCGCAGCCTCCATGCCCGACCTGCTTGTCAAAAGCAGATTGCCTGCCCCATGTGTGCGCACCAGGTGTCGACCGAGTATGGCACCGAGACCTCCTGTGCCGCCAGTGATCAAGACTGTACCACTGACGTCGAGTGTTGTCAAGGCAGAAGGGGTTGGCACCGGGGGGTCTTTGCTGAGCGTGGGGACCAGGATTTTGCCCTTTTCCAAAGCAACGACTTCCTGTCCACAAGTAAAGGCTCCCGAAAGGGCCTCGTGGGATTCCGGTGACCCATCCAAGTCAATAAGGATGATATTTTCACCGCCAAACTCTGCTTGTGCCGATCTCACAAAGCCCCACACCGCGGCATCAATGACATTGACTTGAGGATGCAAGGAAGCCTGCTCAGTGACAAAAATGAGTCGGCTCTTGACAGAACTTGTCTTGGATGCCCTCCACTGTTGGACTGCACGGAGAGCATCTGCGACTGCATTGTGAGCAGCATTGGGAACTTGTGCTGCGTCAACGTTGCGCTTGCCTTGAATGGCAAATATCTGATCAGCGTCACCAATTCTTGTCGTCGTTGAGCCAGACTTGAGCTCAGTCCACTTGAGGCGGTATAGGTTACCCTCGATGACAGGAGGCTGGACTGCGCGTAGCGTGACCTCGGATATCTCGGCTACCGGTAGACCTGTGAGTTTGTTTGTCAGAACCACTGAGAATCGTTCCTCATCCAAGTCACGTATGCGTGCCAAAATCGGCCCCGAGGTACTGCTGGCGGCTGGAAAGACTTGTACGTTCTTGAATGAGAATGGCAGACGAATCTGGCCGCTAGAAACCTTGTCCGGTGCTGCCAGGATGGGAGCATGCAGTGCAGCATCGAGAAGAGCTGGGTGGAGAATGAAGCTGGAGGCTGGACCCGGAGGCGGATGGATTTGGACCAGAAGCTCGTCATTTTGACGCCAAGCAGCCTGTACGCCCTGGAAGATGGGGCCATAGTTGATACCGTACTCGCTCAGGACGGTATATGCATTGTCGACATTCACTTGCGAGTCGGTTTCTTCGTGCGTGCCGTTTGTCAATGAATTCTCAGGCTGGGGCAGCGAAATCAGCTTGACAGTCCCTGTGGCATGTTGTATCCAGTCATGTTTCGAGGCAACATCATGCTGGCGCGAATACACGTCGACGCTTTTGTCCAGCTCCCTGACAATGACCTGAACCTCGTACTCTTGCTCCTCCTCGTCGTCCTCCAAGGACAAGGCCAGGGGCGCAAGAATCACCAACTCCTCCAGTACAGCCGTCTCGGGGTCAGAAGGTGCGATGCCTTCTCGTGCCGCTCGCAAAGCCATTTCGGCAAAAGCCGTGGCAGGAACGAGGCTCTGTCCGCTTATGACGTGGTCGCGAAGCCAGGGCTGTCTGCTAGTTGATACAAATCCAGAGCAGATGATGTCACCAGTTCCGGCAATTGCTGTACTGCTGAGGAGAACGTCATGATCCAAGGCAGAGGCACCCACAACCTGCGCTTGACGCTGAGTTGCCGACCCGAGAGATTCCGCTGGCAACAGCGTTCTGTATGGCAGCCAATATTTACGTCTCTGGAAAGCATAGACGGGTAGGTCGACGAGATGCGCACCTACACCACCAAAGACGGCCTGCCAATTCACCGGCACCCCTCGAGACCAGAGCTGGCCCAGCGTGTTTAGGAGCTTGCCGACTGTGCCATGTGTGGCAACGGTACCCGGGACATGTGGGGAGAGGATCGCCGAAGGGCCGACTTCCACAAAGACTGAGACGCGCTCGTTTGCTTGAAGCTCTTGAACGGCATCTGCGAAAAGAACCGGCTCGCTGACATGGCGTGTCCAGTGGGTTGGGGAGCTGAGCTGAGCTGCGTCGACTCGCTTGCCCGTGACGGTCGAGATGAGTGGTATGACTGATTTCCCCGCTTCTATTTTTGATGTCAAGGCGTTCTCGAGATTGGGAAGAATGCCATTCATCATGGGCGAGTGGAAACCGTGATTGACATTTCGCAATACAGTGTTTCTGCGTCCCAATTCGGAAAATCTGTCTGCCACTGCATTGATGGCTTCTCGAGTGCCAGAGACGACGATTGATTTCTCCGAGTTGACCGCTGCAATGGTGGCGGCACTACCCAAACGTGATAGTTCTTGGGACACCTCTTCTCTGGTGGCCGAGATGCTCACCATTCCGCCATTGGGATCGAGGGCGGCCATGAGTCTGGACCGGGCGGTGATGATGACGGCGGCATCCCGAAGAGACAGAGCTCCAGTGATGTGGGCAGCTGCAATTTCTCCGAGAGAATGCCCAGAGACCACGTCGGGAAGAATATCAAACGACTCGAGAAGACGGTACATGGCCACCTCGAATACGAACAAGGCGGGTTGAGCAAAGTCTGTTCGCTCCAAAAGGCCTTTATCGCTAATGGCATCTTCTATTGCAGACTCGAGATGCTGGTTGACTTGGTCACAGGCCGCCTTGAATGCCCGGGAGAAGACAGGAAATACGCTGGAAAGTTTTTCGATTTCGCTAGTGTCGGGCATCCGGCTGCCTTGTCCTGAGAATAAGCATGCGAGACGTGGTTTGTTGCCGGTAGTGTTGGTGTGTCCAGTCACGATGTCGGGATGGGGTTCGTCTTCCGCAATGGCTGCAAGTGCCGTCTCAATCTGCTCGCCAAAGTTATCCCCAAGAGTGCATGTCACCACGGCTCGGTGCTTCAGAGAAGATCTGGCCGTTGCCAGCGAGAATGCAATGTCGACTGGATCTTGCTTGCCGAGTCCACCTTGCCAGGCCTTTAATAAG